AAAAAAAAAAAAAAAAAAAAAAAAAAAGCAGGGTAATAGCATGTTTGACCAAGCCAGTTTCTACCGTTGGATACTGAGGCTGGAATCAAAGACATCTCACTAGATTTCCCCGAGGAAGTCCCCACCACAAAAAGCACACACTCCAGGGGTGTGTGCTAGGGGTGGGTCCCTCCACACACCCCACATCAGCACCGGACTTAAGACCATATTTGCCCATAGGTAACACAGGAGGCGGAGCCCCGGTCAGTGTGTTGGGAACTCTGAGGGTTCTGCCATGCCAGCATGGATCACCAAGGTCCCAGAGAATTGTCCTGTTTGAAAATAGCCAGACACCACAGAAGCCTTGCCAGCAAAACTCTCCTTCATACCCTTAAATTTGCAACAATTTACAATATTGTAGACACATGTTGGAAGTGAAAACTGAGTTCTTGGGCAAGCTAAGGGCCTAACCAGAGATCAAACCCCTGGCCGACTTATTGCAAAGGCTGAGATGCTACCATGCTGTTTGTTCTCCATAGCCAGAGAAGGAAGAGGCTTGAAGTCAGGCCAGCACATCTCACTGGGGATGACACCCAAGCACATGGCAATGGAGACCAGTGGACTGAAGAGAAGGTTGCAGCGTCCATCTAGATCCCCAGGCCTCTAGGGGCCACAGAACAGCCACTGAAGGGAGAAGTACAGCCTCTGAGAACAGGCTTAGCAGGGATCTATGATGACCATCTTAAGGTTCGATAAGGAAGCAGAGATGTCACACTCATTCTAAGAGCGGCCCCTTTTCACTGGCTGACCCACACCCCTAACAGAGTCCCTAGCATCCCTGTGGGACTGGAACCTGGAGTCTACTTGAGATGCTGCCTAACGGACCCAGAATAGCATGGCTCAGGCCCAGAATGCTGACAGAGAGCCCTAGGGAATGTCCACGGGACAGACCTGGAGTCACAGGCTAGCCTGGTTCCTCACAGGGACCACAAGAGAGCCCTTTGACATTGGTCTTCACAGAGGGACTACATCTAACAAGCTAGGGAAGCCAATGAATGTATTCAGAGCACCAGAAACTCAAGGGTGAAGAAAGACACTATCATCAGGTGGTATTTTTTCATTGGTCACATTTCTGGACCATTCTACTCATAGGTCACTTTGAATTAACATCAAAAACATCCTTTGGCTGGCGAGTTTTGGTTCTGCTGCGCAAACTTTCCGGGTACCACAAGCATTTGCTCACTTAGGAAGTCAATATGTAATGGTACACAAAGCTTTGTGGTATTTTTTTTCAGTCTTGGGGATGTTACCCCCTCACACCTCTACTGACCTGTAAAATGGGAACAATAATGCCTGGGTTTTAAAGACTCAAGGCCTGTCAGTGGGGAATGGTGGAAAGACGGCAGACCTTGCATTTGGACATGCTGTCTTCTTCCCCTTGCTGGGTGACCTGGAGAAAATTCTTAGTCCCTCTGGGCTTGAGGAATCCATTGGGTACAAATGGGCATCCCCAAGGCTCTGAAGATGGTGGTGGTGGTGAGAAATGATGTGCATGAACTCAATACTGACTTACTAAAATAAAACCTAAAGCTGAGTGTGAGCGGGGTTATTCCAGCACTTGAAGGCAGAGGCAGGTGGATCTCTGTGAGTTTGAGGCCAGTTTGGTCTACATAGAGAGTTCTATAAAACCTCAAAAAGAACATACCCAAGGCGCTACAATCAGGACGGGTAGGGGAGAAAGAGGATTAAATGAGTAGGCAGGCAGGGAACAGAAGTGGGAGCCAGACGGCCTCGCTGTGTTCCTTTTAATATTCTTTCGCTGGCCGTATGGCCTAGTCAAACATTAAAAATATAATTACAAAATTTAAAAATAGTTCTTTTAGTCTTGAGAGGAAAAAAAAAAGCTGTCGTACCTCCATGAAGTGTTCCTTGAGGGGCTGTGCCTTTAGCACATATGACCATTATGACCATATGCTACGGGGATGGGGTGGAGGTGGTGATGGAGCTGTCCAGGGCTGAAGGTTGTCTAGGGAACACAGAGATTTGCAAATATCCAGACACCCATCTCTCTGGGCCCCTCAGAGCACCTTCTTTGGAGTCTCCCATTATACCCAGCCTCCACAGTAGGCCAACAGAACTTTTAAGAGGTCCTAGTGGTACCCCTTTCTGTCCAGGCTTACCCAGTTAAAATGCAGTGTGTCATGAACCAATCA